GCGCACCCAAGCACTCAGCTTCCTCACTCGCATATTTGTAAGAAGAAAACGTGCCATACCTTGGTTGATTTCGTGTTTCCTGGGGCCTTGACTTGAATGGAACATGAACATAAGTGTAAATTTTTCGAGAGGATAGAATTTGGGGTGACTTGAGATGAAAGAGGGCTGAACTAAAATGTCTAAGAGATTTACAGTTCATGTAGGAGATGACTGTTGACAGTGTTTTCCCAGATCAGTACCACAGAATATGCAGTATTTTTACTAGACTGACATCAAAAGGGTTCATGTACCGTGACAGATTGCCTTTGTAATTTATTCTGCCTGGACGGCCCTGGATCACGCTCAATGAAGGGCTCCTGTAAAGGTTTTTCTCTCCACATGTCGGTGACTGCCAACCGCCCCCTCATTAGACCTGATGAAAGTACAGCGTTTAGCTTATCTTCCTCTCACTTCATTATTTATATTCTCCCAGGTTTTCATCCTACATAGTATATTGTATATAAATCTTTAGACCTTAATTTTAATAATGTATCACAAGCATCTCTGTTATTCTATGAACAAGATAGGATTCAGATTACAAAGCAATTTGACTAAATTGTTTTTATACCCTTTGCGCTGCCACTTTCAGAAGAGCTACTACCTTCAATGAAAAATTCTTTATTTACAAGGCAATAAAATTAGTCATTATTGCCTATTTGAAAGCAATTGGAACTAAAACCTTGGTTTCTCTGACTCATGAGGTATACTTACCATTAGATCAATGCTTTCCAAACTTTAATCATGTGTATACCACCTGTACAATTTTCACCGTATCTATGTGCCACCTATATTATTTGTATATTTCCCTAAAATTGATTTTTTTGTTCTAAACCAAATTTGTTTTTTAAGATAAACTTTATACGACCTCCTTAAGTAGTAAACCAGTATCACTTGATATAAATACATGAGAATCATTACAACATATAAGTAAAAAGAAGAGTGTTACCACATTCTCATAGATGCCCTTGGCTGTAACAGACTCTGGCCCAAAGCTGCCCCTCTCTGATGAAGAAGGGTGTTAGCAGGTGTTAAAGAGAGGGCTTTTGCAGACATTCGACATCCAGCTGAGTGGTGTTTGAGAGGCTTGAAAAGTATTAAAAAAGGAGTAAGGTGCTCATTTTATAATTCTACCTTGTGTGTCTGAAATCACCTGGGGCATCTGTGGAGGCCCACGCCGCTGCCCCACATGGACAGCCAACGCGGCCGACCAGAGAGCCCAGGAAACTGCTGCTTTGAAATAGGTGTACTCGGAGACAGCCAGGTAGAGTTCAAAGTCAGTTACTGGGCACCCGCTGAAGGTGACCATAGTGTAGAGCATGGTGATCAAACATAATGCCTCCTGAGAATTTCTTAAGTTTAGTGGAACTAACAGTAGTTGGTGGAAGTTGAAAGATGGAATAAATCCATCCCTCAACCCATTTGTTTCAGGCCACCTGACGGCACATTATGCATTTGATTGTCTGCTAATATGGAGGCAAAACCTAATTGGAAAATCAAGTATTTTATAAAGAAAAAATAAGGGTCATTTCTGCTGTAAGGCTATGAGTGCATGCAATTAAATGTTTTTTTCCACTTAAAAATCTGAGATATTTTTCTTTTATGTCGTATAGTTATTTTGGCTTCTTTTAGAAAAAAGATAGTGATAGGGTGCTTCACTAAACCTCATGACCCCTTAGCAGTAGCCCTATTGAGGTTAACATAAAAGACTGCAGGCTAAAGTAAAATGTCGTGTCTTTTATGGAATCGGTGTTCAGTAAATATTTGATAAGTACATTTGTGAGTTTGTTTTTGAAAGACTTCCTTGGGTAAAGTTGTAACCTTTCTGTAGTTACCTGTACCACCGGATGCTTTCATGAGGGGGCGTGGCAGGCACTTCAGCATTTGCATGTGGAATGCTGCTGTCTGTGGTGAAGGTGAAGGTTTGACACTCCCTGGTATAGTTTCTTTAGAGATATTGCATCAGGCATCTTCCCTTTGGTCCTCTGGCTCCAAATGCTCTTCACCCTTCTTTGCTTTGCTCTGATCCCAGAAACCTGACTTCTGTGCTCTGCCTCTCAGCAAGGGGAGTGCCCACAGATTGGAGGGAGAGAGCGCGAGGTTAGGATACTATTCCCTGCAGGGTCTCTCAGACTGGTCGTGGCCCTTACGTGATGCTCACAGCTCCTGTCAGGCAGTGATGCCCAACAGCACTCTGTACCAGGGTCAGGTATCCATCCCTCACCTTCCTCTGTCAGGCCTTGGGGCAGGGAGAACCTGCCCTACCCAAACCCCCTCATTACTAGCCCAGAGGACTGCAGTAAGCCTTGTGGCTTTTCTGTGCCCTGCCCACCTCTTTGTAAATAACCCCTTTTTAAAATTCCCTTCAAGTTATCGTAATTGGCGTGCCCTGTTTCCTGCTGGTACCTTGACTGACAAAAGTTGCAGGTTTCTTTGCAACACAGCAAAGCTGACTGGTTCCTGAAGGACTGACTTCTGACTTCAGCTATAATAGCAATGTGTTCTATACCAGTCTGGTTCCCAAATTTAGGAGTGCTTCAAGATTACCTGGGGAGGTTGTGAAAATGCAGGTTCCTGGACCCCGCCCCTCTACCTACTGACTTCGAGGTACAGAGGACAGTTCTAAGGCCCTTGCAATGACTGATCTTTTGTAGTTCACTAAACACAGAATATAATTTATACGACCCCAAGCCCAGATAGCCTTCTGAACAGATAACTAGTTAAAGGACACTGGACCCCTACCTTTTGTGCCATGATTTATTGTTAACTGGGGGATGAGTGAGCGAATGAGTGAAATACCTAAGATTTAAAATAAGAATTCTCCTAAAAATTACAATATAATGAGATAAAACTAATCTGAAATAGGTAATAGCTGCTCTTTCAACTCCTTGTTAACTCATGAATTATTGGGAGTGACCAGACTCCTCCTGACTCACTATGCAAGATTTGGAAGAGTAGAGATGGTTCCCTGTCATCCAGGAGGGAAGCCCAGTGTCTGATAATTTGATAATTTGCCATAGAGTTCCTCATTATCGTCTATTAAGAAAAAAATTCTTGTTGACTATGAAAGTGTAACTCAAGATATGAAATGTAATTATCTAAATACTGGACACTGTTTTTCCTGCCAAAAAACAGTTATCAATAATTCCTATCCTATATAATAAAGAGCTAATGTGCTAATTAGACTGGACGCAGAACAACCTTCCAGAACAACCTTCTAGAACGACCTTCCGGAACAACCTTTCGGAATGACCAGTGGGCGGGAGGCGGGGCCGCAAGGGCCAAGGCAGCCGGGGCTGGAAGGGTCAAGCCCCTTGCACGAATTTCGTGCATCGGACCTCTAGTGCTAAAATAAATGCCTTTAGCAGAGCTGTTGTTAGAAGCCCATAAAATATGTAGTCCATCCCTGTCAGTGACCACAGTCTGTAAAAACAACAGCATTCCAGTCTCCCAAGGGGAAAGTGAAATCAGTGCTCAAAGCCTTGAATGAAACAGGGTATGATAGACAGTGGACATGAGATCAAATTCTGCTTGGACCAAGAGGCCCATTTCTCGAGGACTACATAAGATTGTAAAGCTCTTGGGACGTGATTCTCAGAGGGTGTTACTCCTTGCCCCCCGCCCCACTCCCACCAGAACTCTGTTATTATCTTAAAAAATTCACATCTCTGATCTCATGGTAGTTACAAAGATATAAAGATAATTGGAAAGTGTATTCTGCTGAGTCAGTAGAGTACGCCCCAGGGGCCTCCAGCTACCCTGCAATGGCTGTTGCAAAATTATAAAACAATTTCTCAATCCGAAATTAATAGTAATTCATCTCACCTTGAATAGTGAGCCAGAACATGTGGCCATTTTGTCTTCCCAAAAGGTTGAGTGAGGGTCACTGTGATGAGGGCTAATTGCTTGACAAGGAGAGTAAACAGTCTGTTATATAACATTTTGCCATTTTATTCATTTTAAGCCTTTTTTCTTTTAATGCTTTGGTGAAGTGCTTTTAGCTGATGGGCAGTGAACATTAAGATAAAGGGTCATCTTGGATAGATGTCCTTCCCAGAGGGCAGAGCAGGGCCTGAGGGGAATCCAGCTGACCCAGTTGGAAATGCCTGAGTAATTCTGGTTGAAGTGTATCCCACCATCTCAAAGCAATCCCTCTCCTCCTCCCGGTTCACTTTCAGAACCCCCTAGACCAGTGGTAGGCAAACCGCGGCTCGCAAGCCACATGCGGCTCTTTGGCCCCTTGAGTGTGGCTCTTCCACAAAATACCACATGCAGGCGTGCATGTACAGTGCGATTGAAACTTTGTGGCCCATGGGCAGAAGTCGGTTTTCGGAAAGGAGATAGACGAAACAAGTATACAAGACGAGTGTGGATGGGAGAGTTGGAAGGGGTCGACCTCAGCGAACGTACCTCAATCAGATTGAGGACGTTTATAGCAAAGGCCAGTTTAGGAGTACCCTAATTAAGTTAGTAACCATGTACCTACCTATATAGTTTAAGTTTAAAAAATTTGGCTCTCAAAAGAAATTTCAATCATTGTACTGTTGATATTTGGCTCTGTTGACTAATGAGTTTGCCGACCACTGCCCTAGACCAGCGGTTCTCAACCTGTGGGTCGCGACCCCGTTGGTGGTCAAATGACTTTCACAGGGATTGCCTAAGACCATCCTGCATATCAGATATTTACATTACGATTCATAACAGTAGCAACATTACAGTTATGAAGTAGCAATGAAAATAATTTTATGGTTGGGTCACAACATGAGGAACTGTATTTAAAGGGCCAGAAGGTTGAGAACCACTGCCCTAGACTGATCTGCCCTATAAAGATAGAGATGGTTCTTAATGGTCCCTGGAGTTATTTGGCCCAGCATTCAGGATTCAGGGAGTACAAACTTATGCAATTGTGTTTCATCTCTGAACACAAGGTGCTCAGTAGTTCAGTCTGGCCTTGTGTTTTCCAGTCTAAATGAAGATGCTGGAGCTGGGGCACCCTAGGAACTGCACCGTTTCAGAGTGATGACCAGTTCACAGGTAGACACCCACTTCCTACTCCAACCATGCCACTTCCTCCTTTCACTTGCCCCTTTTCCATGAGTCTTCTGCTACCGTGGGAGCTGTTGTTGTGGGCGAAGAAGAAGATGAAAGGAAAAGCAGAAACACTTTAGAGAAACTGTCATGAGAGCCAGCTCCTACCCCCACAATGCTTTTCTTTCACACAGCCTACTTGTTTTTCACTTCAATTTTTTGATGGCCTACAATTTGATCATTTTAATTTGAGGGTATAAATGACCTTTTTAAAAAAAAACAGTAGCTTCAGAGGAGGTTGATGACTCATTAACCTCATACAGTGGCGCATGTATGTGAATTAATTCCATCAAATTGATTAGCCCAGGGAATGGGGCTGTGATTGGAAAAGTGGTCAGTAGACAATTTGGGCACCTCTCCAAGGGGATCCAGGCAGGATATGTGGTGATAGGAAGCCAGTAGGAGAACTCGAAAGGGGGTGATCCTAGGAGGGGAGAGAGGCTAAGGAGACATAAACTTGAACCATAAGGGCTCTTGTTCCTAGGGCCCAGAAGTCATGCCATTGGTGGTTTTATTCTGCATAAGTTTAGTGTGGCAGCCTGGTACCTACCACTATCAACAGCAGCATCTACATGTGCCAGATTTAGCAAATTACAAAAACAAAACAAAAACCAGGATACTCAATAAAATCTGGATTTCAGATAAATAATAAATATTTGTTACCATAAGTATGTTCCAAATTGTTTGTCCAACATTCAGATTTAACTGGACCTCCTGAATTTTATCTGGAAGCTTTGAGAGTGGCTAAGCTCCTGACATTCTCAGTTCTGGAGAAAATGTTGTTTGCCTGACTCTGGTGATGGGAAAGCCCAGGCTAAAAGGGTTGTGGTTTTCAGCCTCTTGGTGAAAAAGCCTCCAGAGCTAGTGTTCCTAACCCCTGAACTATCCATGGAGAACTCACCAAAGGACCAAACAGCGGGCTGTAAACACACATACTTTGGGCTACCTGGTGTTTGTTGTGGATGGCAAAAAGGGCCCTAGAAGGAAGTGAGATCGGGGGTCGTGGCGGGGGGGGGGGGGGGGGGGAGAGGGTCCACACTGACCCTACCCAAAGGCACGGGGAGTTCAGAGGCTGAAGCCTGCTGGCAGAGTCTCCAGGAAATGAACCTCAGTGGGGTTAGAGCAGAGGCCTGGAAGGAACCTAACGGTCACCTGGCCTACCCTCTTTATTTTATGAGAAAACCGAGATCTAATGAGGGATAATGACTACTCAAGTCACAGAAAAAAATCATCAGTGAAGCCTGTAGAGAATCGGTTTTCTTAAGTTTTCACCGAGTTCTTTCCACTGCGTGGTGCTGACACAGCAGGTTCTTATTCAAGCCTCCAAGTTTCCACCCAGTCCTACTTTATGTACACAGTACCCACTTGGGCTGACTTTGTGGGAAGGACCACATTCTGCTTATGAGTCAGGCACCACCCTCATTTTCTTTTCTGTTGATGTAAGAACCACCTAGGCAGTCCCTGGTTACCAAGTGTTATGTTTTATGTCCCATTTCACAGAGCCAAAAAAAATCCAGATTTTGCCATTCATTGTATTATATGCTTTTTTGGGACAGTTAGGTATGTTTCCAAAATCTGGCTACTCAGTAGAAAGAAAGAAAAACCTAAAGTTGTGCTTCCTCCTGTCTTAAAAATATATATCAGTGGTTTTTTAATGTAATATTCAATTTCTATAGTCAGCAGCAGTCTGCTAATGATCGCCCAGAGTTCTGGTGTCCAGTAGGGAAGAAAGGAATGCCCATGGTAGAGTGAAGGAGAGAGGGTCCCTTCTGAGGTGGAGAAAACCATTCCCCCTGACTCCTCAAGGGACTGAGAGTTTAATGGCAACAGAAAGTATGGATACTCCCCAAAGCCTAACTTTGTTGTTTTCTGACTCCTTGAGCATGGTCTCTCTGTATTGTCAGGACCATGATGCCTCTTCCTGGCTTTCAGGCATGTGGGAATGAAATGTTCTTTTTAAGTTTCTTTGGTTTATTTTAGCAGTTTTTGATGTAAATTGTGGATTTAAGGATAAGAATTCTTCAGTGAAACCAGTGCTGTGTCCACACTGTCTTACCCACTCAGAAAATTAGCACGTGGGAAAACTATTTAAAGGGGAGAAGGTCGTGTATGGGAAAGAAGGTCATTTCCTTCTCCTCTATTCATGTGGTTTGCTCATTCCTGACGTGATGAATATTTGCAATGTTTTCTTGGAAAGCAAAATATTCCACATTAACATCGTGGCTTCTTTGGGAAGTTGAAATTCCACATGTTCTTCAGGTACTTCTACATTTGCACTGTTTGCAACAGAGATGAAATTAGCCTCAGCACATTGTTTCTCAGAAATGATAATGTTAAACATGAGCCAGCCAAAGCCATAGGCAAAGTCACTAATTGTCATTCAGGTTCTTATATTATCCTCCTATACAGCCTCTGTGCTCTCCATTCTCCTCCCCAAGAGTCATTGGCTGAAAACATGATGAAGTGGATTACATACTTGCCTTGATGTTAACAATTGTAATAAACTCTTCACAGATTGGAGAATGTGAAACTAAAAGGCTGAGGATATATAATGAATGAAACTGGCTGGGTTATGATCAGCTTTGAAATTTGTGATCCTCAATTCAGAGTAGCTGGAGAAAAGGAAAACCTCTTGTACATGTATTAATGTTATCTATCAACTTTAAAAATGTGAAACCTCACTTCCAGAGTCAAGCCAGAAAAGCAGCATTGTTTGGTAAAAAAAATTTTTAATGAAGCCCAAATATTTGAATTAATCCCCTTAAAGCATTCAAATAAACGTGTGCGCCTGAAAGGTACCTGGTTTAGAACATCAAAAAAACTAGCAAATTAGCCCAGTGCTCAGGGGATGAAGCAGCAAAAGGATGAAGTGGCAACATGACTTTGAAACTCCAAGTGGCCTCTGAAGGTCAGCGGAAAGCTACTCTTTTGAAGCAATTGGAGGATCCTAGGAATCGTATTCAGAGTGGGTAGGGCCTTTTTCTAGAGACAATGGGTAAACAGTCTGTTAAGTTTCCATTTTTCTCACTTTGAGGAACTTCATCTGGTTTCTGGTCATCTTTTAATCCCAAATTTTAGTTTGCTAGCCAAGAAAAACATGCATGATTGGGAAATCTAGGTGTTCTACCCAGTTTCTTCAAGACCCATTCTGCATCTGTCTTGGTAGTCCATGTGTTGTTAACTTGGCATGTGTATATAGCTTATCTGCCAAGTGGGCTGCTAACATCTTGAAGGCTGAGATGGTGTCTGATACTAGCACCTAACAGCATCCTGTTCAGTCACCTGTCCAAAAGGTTCATGCCAATCATTGTGGGGAGCTGAGATCTGGGGCAAGGCCTTTTTCTCAAAGGCTGTGCTCTCATAGAGGCTGTCTACAGAGCACTGCTGTATCTCTAACACCAGTGGAGGCGAGGAGAGGAGTAATCCAAAAACAGTGCACAACCCAGGCACCATTTTCATTTGTCACAGTTTGGGATGCACTTGCTGTTTTTCTAATTGGCTTATTTTTTTAGTATAATCTGGACCAGTGGAGAGACCTGTTTTTTGATAACACATAGAGTGAACCATCAGTGCATTCCCAGATATAAAGAGGCTGATAAATTCTATTGAATTTTTGTATTCATTTCCCTAGCCAACAAATCACTCTCCCTATTAATATTTGTTCAGTTAATATTTGTCATAAGAATTTCCATGGATTCTGCTTCAGAGTGACTAGGCAGGTGTTTCAGGAAAAATAGGGAACTCCCTTGAAAAGCCACATAATCCTAAATAAAACGCCCTGCCTTGGTCATGATGGAAATGGCTTACATTGGAATGCTTAGATGCAATGTGCCATAAACTCAAAGTGCTCTGAAATCTGCCAAGTGGGAGGTAACCACTGAGCCAAACAATCCAGGTGCTGCCAGAGGTTAGAGGGCGGCTTGGCCATCTACAGCACTACAGGTGATGCAGATGGTGTTCCCAAATCTCTCCAATATGAAACTGGGCTCTCAGCAGCTAACAGCAGACACCCCCTACATCTGTCATTGTGTATCTAGACTTTTAAGCTGTGGGGTCTTGTTACTTGTAAGCAGAGTTCTTCACACTATCTGCAAAGCATTAGGATAAAAGGTTAGGAAGGATAAGGTGATTAAGAATGGAACAGAATACACTGAAAAGATTTTTTATTAAAATATTCATCTGTTCTTTTACCAAATCATGGAAGTTTGGCATTTGCCATTTATATGCATCTCTGCTGCAGCTCCATGGCAAATCTCCTGTCCTCAGAGGATATCAATCATGTGGCATTTGGTTCCTATGAGAAGAGTTGAGGAGAGAGAGACCTAGACCTGCAGGCCAGGGCAAGAGAGGGTTAAATCTGAAGCTGGGTTTCCAGAAAGTGGAAGCAGTACTTTGTGTCATTGCAAAATAACCTATGCATTAGGAATTCTGCTGCATCATCTTTGCAACTTAAATTCCTATTCTCATCTTGGTGGGTATTTTTGGAAGTCAATGAATAGTATTAACTTATGCTCTGAAAAGATGGAACCATTCTGTGACGGATTTAAGAAGCACGGTGTCAGTCAGTCGTTTCTGTCTTAGATTATGGTAAATTCCTTCTGCATCAGGCTCGCTTTTGTGAGTTTTCTTTTCCTCCCTTCATCACATTCATTATCCCTTGGGCAAGTTGTGTCTGTCCCTCCTGCTCTACTCCCACGCACTATGCAGAGGAGTTCATCTGCAGCCCCAGGCAGGCCTCCAACCAGCTACAGAGCTTCCTTTCTCCCACTCCCGGGTCTTTCCCACCCAGCGGTGAGACCTATGCCTGATTTTCAGCTCTTCTGGGTAGTGTGTCATTACTTGGAACAAAATTAGAAAGCATTTTACGTTGCTTATTACATATCATTAATTGAAACGCCACTAAACCCAAGGAATTTATTGTTCCATTGATGTGTGCATAACTCCTA